GACAGAAGGAAAAATAAACAACACTTCTTCTGATTACCTTAAACGATTTCCGTTACTGCCGCCGGTATACAGAAAGGCTATATTTTATACAAGAAATAAACAAATAAATAAATGAAAAAACCAAAAGACAAAACTTCCATGTAATGAAAGAAGAAAGTGTCACAATGATAAAAAAAGTGGTAAAAAAATAAAAAAAAAAAAGGAATTAAAAAAAAACAACAACCGTTACAGTGAAAATCTGAAGCATGAACCGAAAAGTAAACGCAATAGACGGGGATGCTCTCTGTATGTGTGTGTGTGTGTGTGTGTGTGTGTGTGTGTGTGTGTGTTTGTGTGTGTCTCTGTGTGTGTCTCTGTGTGTGTCTGTGGTGTGTGTCCGTGTGTATGTGTGTGTGTGTGTGTTTGTGTGTATTTGTGTGTGTGTGTGTGTGTATATATATGTATTATAACACAAAGCACAAGGAGCAGAATCGTTGCAATGGGCATTGAGAGTGCGCGTCCAGTTAGTGCTACGATGATGAAGATGACGGTGCTGGTGGTGGTGGTGGTGTTGGGATGGTTGCTGGTGGTGCTGCTGTTGCTATTGCTGCCCAGTGGTAATAGCGAGGGAACAACACCAATTCGTTTTCTCTTCTTCGATGTCAATTTGAACCCGACTTGTCAGCAGCACGATAACTGCAGCCTAATATCACTTTTGCCAAATCTCTCTGTTTTTCAGTCTGTTAGTCTGTTTCGGCCGCTACTACCCCTTCCCCCTCCCCCGCCTTTTCGCATCCCCTTCCCCGTTTCTGTCTCTCCGTTCATTTTCACCATATTTGCTCCCCGCGCATCAAAATGTCTCCGATGTCCATCAGTATATGAAACTTCCTCACATAGAAATATAGGACAGACAAAAATATATGGCTATGTATTAGTAACATTATTCAGTCTTTCCTGTATTTTAAGCTCATTTTTTTTTCCGGTTTAACATCAATCGGCCATTTTTATATGTATTTTCAACTTTTTTTACTTTTTTCTTTCCGTCTCTTCTAAAAACTCATCCCGCCTTTTTTCCCCCTCAGCAAATAATTAGTCCTGTGATAACTTAAAGACAAATATTCTAAGTGTTAGAAGAAATTGTTCGTGTTCTTTCCTTCACTTTGTTTCCTCCCAATCTCCTGCCTCTCCGTGTCCTTCTCCAATGCTTTTTATTTAAACTTTGAGTGTCATTATGAAAGATATACGTAACTGTCGTCTCGTTTCACCCCTTCCCTTTTCTCCCAAAATTTCAGTCGTATATCGCACTCTTTTTTCTAATTTTTTATTTCAAACAGGCAACACATCTATGGTAAGTTCCTATCGTTTTCCTTCCCTCTGAACATTTTTTTCATCCATTCATCCTTTTTTCCTGCTTCTTGGAAAGTTGCTTCTCTTTTATCCATTTACTTATTTACTTCCTTGTTGTATTTTGATTAAATTACACATAAAACTTGTTCAGATCGACAACCCTTAACAGTGGTGTCAGTTGATAAAGAAGGAAAGGGAAAAAACGGGAACATACCCAAACAGGAACACTATATAATAACTTTAAAGTAAATTTGTTTTAATGTTTTATCCCATTTTTTCCTTTATCTTCTTTTTCTCCTATATCTTTCCTTCTTACTACCAATGTTATAATGTAAAATTAATATCGCTTGGTCTCGGCGCTTTTTCTGCCTTATTCCCTTCCACTTAATACGTTATGAGTGAACGAAAATGCGCTTCGTTTCATCATCATCATCATCATCATCATCATCATCACCATCATCACCATCATCATCTTTTTCTTCCCCTCACAGAAACTAAGAACTAAAAGAAATGGCAAAAAAAAACGGCGAAAAAAAGGATCAAAAAAACGGAAATGAAAAAAGAAACAAAAAGGCAAGACGGAACCACGAATATATGACTCTATCTAAACGCATTCTTCAGCAGCATTAATATTTGCTTTCACGTAGTGCTTTAAGCAACGGCTAAATTCTCTATATACATATACGTACACACATGTAGATCCGGATGAAGGGAAGGGAATACCCGAGGAGCCGTAGTAGGAGTAAATTTTGCGCTGAGTACTTGTCAAATATAACCTGCAGTTTGGCTGGCCATTTCATTGCTACGTTTTCCCCATTCTTTTAGCGCGTTGCATTCAGTCTGTCGCGTGCGTAACTGTCACTTTGGCGGGAATTCAAACTTCTATTTACTTTTTCGCTTTTTTTCGTGTTTATTTTTGGATG